TAATAATATGAACCATGCACATGGATTCAAGCAATATTCTTGATGAGTCGTTTTGTGAGGAGTCTCCAGTCGAAAGTAAGTGGAATGTATGAAAAATGTTTCATCACATAATTCCATCGTTCTTTATTTTAGCCAATCCCTTATAAAGAAGAGGTGCTACGACACCAATGTTGAAGTGGCAGGTGTTAGGCCAGTTTGCTCTCCGATTGATGGTAAGTGTCTATTTAAAACGATTTTAGTACTAATTCTTGAAAATTAACGCGAAGCTGGACACCAATGTTGAAGAAGAGGAAGCGGCAGGTGTAAGCCAAGTTTGCTCTCCGAGTGATGGTAAGTGCCTATTTTAAAAACTATGTAACTAACACTTACGATTTTAATATTAATTCTTGAAAATCATTAAAGATATAAACGCGAAGCTGGACATCATTCTTAATAACCAAAAAGCCATATGGGATTCTTTGCAGACAAGCATCAGCAACGTAAGTCCTTGAAATACCTCACTCTTTATAAAAGTTGTATTAATACCAGGCTTGTTTTTTGGTTAGTTGGTAGTTTTTTTGTATATTGATTTTTTTTTTTATAAAATACATACATACATATAAATACATATGTACATAAATATATACATATACATAATTTATACATACATATGTATAAACAAATTACCGCCTAAGAATCTCCACTAATATTTTTTTTATTTTAGCAAGCAAAGTTGTCAACAAAACAGGCGACGCTGGAGAAGAAATTCATCTCACTCCAAATGAATGTAAGTATTGTTTTGTGAAAAATAAGAATATATGAACATATGAATATTCGATTTTGCAGGCAGTCGCAAACGCGGAATTTCTCGCTCTAGCGAAATCAGCACGAGAAATAAAGGTTTCGGTGCAAAATGACGAAAAGGAAGTTTGTCGTATGACGGGCGAAGCATGTGACAAAATTATGAATGAAATTGCCAGCATGCTGCCCTGCTCCGCATATACCCCGATAATGGCGCTCGAGGAAAAGTTAAAGGCAAAGGAGTATGTGAAAGCAATGGTAAGTAATAATAGCGAATTTAACTGATTTTATTAAAATCAATCCGCTTTCAATAGACCACATATTTGTACAAAGTGAAAGGCGTGTCGGGCGACGTTGGCGGCGTGTTTAAAAAGCTTTTAACCGATGAGTCCTTGGCTGAGTTTAATTGGGAAGGGAGGTGGAAGCAGAAAGCCTTGAGAGAACTAACGTTGTTTGAGCATGTTTTGCGCGGTAAACTAAAAAATAATAGTGTCAATAATGCACTAGTTTACATACATTTATTCCTTATTTAAACGTTTTCAATAACATGACCTCCAAGTAGTTCGAGCACGCTGTTAGAAAACAAGTGGAGCAGAGTTATCATCGTCTTCATAAAAAAAAATATGACTCCAAAAAAAACGAGAAAGTATAATATATGTATGTATGTAAAATAATATATATTTACATAATGAAAAATAATTCAAATAAAAATTTACATTTAATTAACTGAAGAAAATTGGCCATACTTGCTAAAATGTCGCGCCCCAGTTTTTATTTAGTTTACTGTATATACTAAAAATAGTAATAATCATATTGATAACGTTAATAGAATAAGTAACACATTTTGAATTTTCGTCCTTTTTTATTGTTTTGTAAATATGATAACGTTAATGGAATAAGCAACACATTTTGAATTTTCGTCTATTTTTATTGTTTTGTAAATATGATAACGTTAATAGAATAAGTAACAAGTTTTGACTTCAGTTTTTTTAAACCTTTTTTATACTTTTAGAATGGAAGTATACTGTCGTTTTCTTTCGAAATGAAGTTCTATTATACATGTGTGTACATATTTATAAGTTATTTAAATATTTTTGTATGTAAAAATACACTGAAATATGAAAAAATTTAACATTGTTTTTTTTTTTTGATTCGGAAGGACCGTTTTCTAAGCTGCAGATTATCAGATCTGATGAATCAGACTTGACTAATTATTACAGCAGTTATGATTAATCAGGGCTGATTGATTTATACATAAATTTGATTAACCAGACGTGACTATTATTTACAT